TAAGCTCTCGAGCTACCTTATTTCGTTCGCCTGTTCTGATTAACCTCGTTATTCATAGACATCGCAACTTGTCTTGCCTATTTTGCTAGGCCATAGTGATAACAGGAATGGAAAAGGGAAGAGTTGAGTAGGATTGAACAAGAAGGAATGGGAAAGGGAAGGGTTGAGTAGGATTGAGCAAGCATGAATGAGAAAGAGGAGGGTTGAGCAAGCATGAATGAGAAAGAGAAGGGTTGAGCAAGCAGGAATGAGAAAGAGAAGGGCTGAGCAAGCAGGAATGAGAAAGAGAAGGGCTGAGCAAGCAGGAATGAGAAAGAGAAGGGTTGAGCAAGCAGGAATGAGAAAGAGAAGGGTTGAGCAAGCATGAATGAGAAAGAGAAGGGTTGAGCAAGCATGAATGAGAAAGAGAAGGGCTGAGCAAGCAGGAATGAGAAAGAGAAGGGTTGAGCAAGCATGAATGAGAAAGAGAAGGGTTGAGCAACCAGGAGTAGGAAAGAGAAGGGTTGAGCAAGCATGAATGAGAAAGAGAAGGGTTGAGCAACCAGGAGTAGGAAAGAGAAGGGTTGAGCAAGCAGGAATAGGAAAGGAAAGGTTTGAGTTGAGCTCGATTGCGCAGCGAGAAAGAGTTGTGGGTTCTTAGGTTTTCAAGCTAGTAGACTGAGGAGGACTAGTGATCTTCTAGGGACAGAACTTCATAGATACGGACTTAGTTTAAACATTTTAGCTAGAGTTGGTTTGAATTACAACAGTGAAAACAAAATATGTGTAAATCCTTTGAAGAAGTGTGCATAATCACAAGAAAGTACCAAGGATTTTTCTAAAATTGTTTTCAGTGTGGTAGTGTAAGTATATGTCATATACAAAATAAGCCTCTAATGTAAATAAATATCAAGGACTTAAAATATGATTATAAAAGTGAGTTTAGACTGATTAATATACCTGCTCATTTGAATAGTTTCTGAAATTAATAATTTTATTTAAGTAAAAAATTGGTTATGTTGAGTTATTCTTGGTTAATTCTCCATAACATATCTTCACTATCTGTATAACAATTAATGCAACCAGTGTAGAAATATAAAATTTCGGCCAGTAAATATATGTTTGACTTTAACAAAAAAAATATATTCATCGTATTACATTGTAGGTATTTTACTCTCTGGAAAAAACGCAGATTTGCTGAACAAACTTTTATTATGATAGCTTTTCCCTCTTATCAGTTTTATTAAGCCTACTTTGAGCAAAACATTGTCCAGTTAAAGGTTTGCTCTGCATACATGTCGTTTTCAGCATAGTCTCATGTTGTGTCCTCAAACCAGTTTAAACTGCTGGTTTTCCCAGGATATAGGAACAAACACAATCGTTCTTGTTGCTCTTGACCTTCAAAGTCTATTCGGCTTCAAAATTTGGGTTTTCCACAAATAATGAAAAAAAAAAAATCCTGCTCCAGGTATGTTCTTGATATTTTGTTTCGCTGTCACTAGGATTATAGTGTGGGAAATTTGATGTGACTGACTGAAAACATTATTATTATTATTATTATTATAATTATTATTATTATTATTATTATTATTATTATTATTATTATTATTATTATTATTATTAGTAATAGTAGTAGTAGTAGTAGTAGTAATTGTGGTAGTAACCTCTACCTCAGCTCATTTCAAAGTCCAGCCATGTCTAAGGTATACTGACCCCCCTCTCAGGGATGCGGCCCACAACAGTTGGTTAACATTCAGGTACTTACTGCTAGGTGAAAAAAAATACTACAAATATCGGGAAACAAGCAACCGCGTTAAAGAGCTCAGTTCGTATATAATAGGCTAAGAATGTTATCCTGCCTTAGTTCACATATAATGCATAAGAACTGCTATCCTACGTTAGCTCATATATACAGGCTAAGAGCTGTTATTCTATATTTAGGTTGTTTATAAATCCCAAAAGCTAATATTCGACCACAATTCATTTACAAAGCCTAAAAAACTGTTATCCAACTTCAGTTCATTTATAAAAGCTAAGAACCTATCCTACCACTTCTCATATGTAAAGCTTAAGAACGGTTATCCTACCTCAGTTTATATATAAAGGCTTAGATTTTTTTATCCTACTTCATTTCATATATAAAAGCCAAGATATCCTAATTAGGTTCATATATATATATATATATATATATATATATATATATATATATATATATATATATATATATATATATATATATATATATATATATATATATATATATGTCGTGCCGAATATGTAAAACTGGTCAATTAACAGGAACTCATTTAAAATTAAGTCCTTTCTGAAATTTTCTCTTATACGTTTAAAGATATATTTTTTTTCGTTAATGTTAATGAAAAAAATTTTAATTTTGCACCAAAAGAATCTTAGAAAACTTACCTAACCTTATTATAACAAGAGCAATTTATTTTAGTCTAACCCAACTAAATATATTTTAAATACGTTTACAATAATTTAGTACTAAACAAACACAATAAAATATATTTTTTTCGTTAGGTTCAGAATGATTTTGGCGAAATTGTTGCATACACAAATTTTCACTTGTCCTATATGGCAAGATGAGCGTTGCTATTTAAGCCAAGATCGCAAGTTCTGCCTATTCGGCACGACATTATATATATATATATATATATATATATATATATATATATATATATATATATATATATATATATATATATATATATATTATATATATATATATATATACATATATATATATATATATATATATATATATATATATATATATATATATATATATATATATATATATATAATATATATTATGTATATATATATATATATATATATATATATATATATATATATATATATATATATATATATATATATATATATATATATATATATATATATATATATATATATATATATATATGTCGTGCCGAATAGGCAGAACTTGCGATCTTGGCTTAAATAGCAACTCTCATCTTGCCATATAGGACAAGTGAAAATTTGTGTATGCAATAATTTCGCCAAAATCATTCTGAACCTTACGAAAAAAAATATATTTCAGTGTGTTTGTTTAGTATTAAATTATTGTAAATAAATCTAAAATATATTTAGTTGGGTTAAGCTAAAATAAATTGTTCTTGTTATAATAAGGTTAGGTAAGTTTTCTAAGTTCCTTTTGGTGCAAAATTATAAATTTTTGCATCAGCATAAATGAAAAAAATATATCTTTAAACGTATAAGAGAAAATTTTAGAAAGGACTTAATTTTAAATGAGTTCTTGCTAATTGACCAGTTTTACATATTCGGCACGACATATATATATATATATATATATATATATATATATATATATATATATATATATATATATATATATATATATATATATATATATATATATATATATATATATATATATATAATGACATATTTAAAACTACTCATCGAGTATGCTAAGTAGTTTTAAATATAAGTTGGTCGGGTATGTGAGTGGGTGTGGATGGGCATAAGTTGAACCTGCCTGGTATGGGCCAATAGGCTTACTGCAGCGTTCCCTCATTCTTATGTTCGTTTATAAAAACTAAAGAGCAGTTGTCCTACCTCAGCTAGGGTATGCAACCTACAACAGTCAGTGCGGTGTGGTGTGTTGTTCGTGTGGTGTGTTGTTTGTATGGTGTGGTGTGTTGTTCGTGTGGTGTGTTGTTTGTATGGGGTGGTGTGTTGTTCGTGTGGTGTGTTGTTTGTATGGTGTGGTGTGTTGTTCGTGTGGTGTGTTGTTTGTATGGTGTGGTGTGTTGTTCGTGTGGTGTGGTATGTTCGTGTGGTGCGTTTTTTGGTGTGGTGTGTTGTTTGTATGATGTGGTGTGTTGTTCGTGTGGTGTGTTGTTTGTATGGTGTGTGTTATTCGTGTAGTGTGTGTTGTTCGCGTGGTGTGTTGTTTGTATGGTGTGGTGTGTTGTTCGTGTGTGGTGTGGGGTGTTGTTTGTATGGTGTGGTGTGTTGTTCATGTGGTGTGGTGTGTTGTTTGTATATTGTGGTGTGTTGCTCGTGTGGCATAGTGTGTTGTTCTTGTGGTGCGTTGTTTGGTGTGGTGTTTTGTTCATGTGGTGTGGTGTGTTGTTTGTATGGTGTGGTGTGTTGTTCGTGTGGCGTGGTGTGTTGCTCGTGTGGTGCGTTGTTTGTATGATGTGTGTTGTTCGTGTGGTGTGGTGTGTTGTTCGTGTGGTGTGTTGTTTGTATGGTGTGGTGTGTTGTTTGTATGGTGTGGTGTGTTGTTTTGTATGGTGTGGTGTGTTGTTCGTGTAGTGTGTGTTGTTTATGTGGTGTGGTGTATTGTTCGTGTGGTGCGTTGTTTGTATGGTGTGGTGTGTTGTTCGTGTGGTGTGGTGTGTTGTTCGTGTAGTGTGTTGTTCGTGTGGTGTGGTGTATTGTTCGTGTGGTGTGTTGTTTGTATGGTGTGGTGTGCTGTTTGTGGTTTGTTGTTTGGTGTGGTGTTGTTCGTGTGGTGTGGTGTGTTGTGTTGGTGTATATGTTGTTCGTGTGGTGTTTGTGTGTGGGGGGTAGGTGGGATGTGTTTGTGTGTGTGTGTATATATGTGAATGTGATGTTTGTGTGTGCGATGGGGTGGAGTGCGTGTGCGTGTGTAGGTGCATGTACATTTTTGTGTGACTTGTTATTAGTCCAAGTTAGACCGAAATGTTGTCTTAGGTTTCAGTCTTCTAAGATTGAGTTATTATGTGTATTGTTCCAACCACAGGATTGTGACCTTTTATTCATTATATTTCTGTTTCCGAATTTATTAGTTTTTATATCTTACGTTATTAAGCATTATAGATATTGTTCTTCACATCCGTGCTTATATTGTATTGTTTACTGACATCGTAGTAACACTAATACTTAGCCAAGATGTATTAACTCTGATCACCTAGCCTAGCCGTGTTCATCTTATCAACGGAGCTCAGGCACCAAGTACCAACCTTGATGGTGGTGAAATGATCTTAATCCAAGGAATTAGAGCTATCATTTTTCTCGTATGAAACCAAATATCCTCCTTGTCCCCAGGCGCTATGTGAACCTTGAAAAGTTGTTTTCATGTGAATAATAATAATTATAATTAGGTATTGAATTTAATCCTAAGACTGTAACAGCCTTTTCCTGTATTTTTTCTGTCAAGGTAAAACCGAAGGAAATGCCAACTTCTAATTTATTTTATTTTATTGAGTTTCAGTATAAAGCACAAAACATTGATGAAGTGATACACAAGAGATGCAAAAATAAATACAGTAAATGTGGGTACATAAATGGGTATTGAATGGTCTCCATCGGGATGAAGAGAACATGAGAACATACATGAAAAAAAAATGATCGACCAGAATATACACAAGGAGATCAAAACTTGTTAGGGCGGCTCACCGCTGACCCACTAGTTACACAAGGATGGGGGAGGGATACCTTGATGCCGGCGAAGAACTCTCGATCTAAGGAATTCATGCTGTCCTCGCCTTCCTCGGATTAAACCTTATTACCTCCCATTCCCCATTTGCTGTATGGCCCCATAGGGTCGAGCGACTTACTTTCGCAACCTAAGTTTCAAACCTCACTAACTACTAGTAATTAAATATTGTCATGGGAAAAATCACTCGATCATTTAATATAAATAATTGAGGAAAATTATAACCTGCAGCACCAGGTAAAATGTAACATGAGAGCACTTACAAAAACATTTACACAAATGCCAAACTAAAGTCACTGGAAAAATACAATGTCTAAAACTGTAAAAAAATTAACAACTGAGCTACATATCTTCCAGTGACTTTATTTGCCAAAAATATTACCAATAACATAATAAATATGGGGCGGAGTAAGCAACTTGCAGTGTAGGGAAGCACTTGTCTCTTATAGATCAAATTACATTCAACAACTCAAAATTGCTTGCTTCGTCACAATTAACAATAAAAGGGACTAGGTGAGACCAACAGCCGCTGAAAATACTCCCACGATATAATTTTCAAGGATATACAGTCAGTATGAGTTGTTTATTCAAGTGAACCCCTAAAATTGGACACTTCGTCAAGCCACACCTACCTGCGGGGCAAGGAGAAATTTTACCCTGCAACATTTTTCCACTGCTCAAGAAACGCACACCTAGTATTGTTTTCGCATTAATGTTTGAATTTTAATAATTTTAATTTGGGAATAATGGTAGGTGGGCTGTTTCTACCTCTTGAAAAGGAATTGATGTTATAGATGAAACAATTTGTGTATGTGAAAGTATACACAATGTGTGTATGTTTCTAAGAACTTAAAAAGTTACAAATGGTATTGGATATTTTTCCCCTTACATCTACAGTGTTAGACGTATTGTTATACCCATCCAAATACTATTTCTCCCATACAAATTCTTAGTAGCTTTGTATTTCCCAAAGCAAAACAAAGCCTTAATAGATGCACAAATATCCATTCTGTGTATGGAACAATGCACAAAGGAGTTTAAGGGAGGAAAAGTCGATATCTGGACGAAATTTGAAGTCTTAGGTAGTCAGTGTTATGGTTTTTAGGACATAAGATTATACTAAGCACACAAGGATATATGCACTGAAAGATGTTTATCTCTCAGTGCATATTTCTCTCGGTATACATACGCTGAGAGTTTGCTTTAATCCCTATTTTGGGAATTAAAGTATTAGTGACTGGTGATGTACAAGTGACACGCAGCCTTAATAACCCTCGTGTAGTCGATAGGCTTTAATCCTAATAAATCACCCAGTAATCTTAAAACATATGATTCATACTTATATTAAAATACCGAACTTTCACAGGGTTATGTATGTATATTCTTGTAACTCCAATATATAATGGCAAGTATTTAAATCCGTAAACAGGTTTCGTTTCACAGTTCAAAAATTATTTATTTTGCACTGTATGTTTATGAATTTAATTTCCAATGCAAATGAAGGTAACCAAAGTGCATTTGTGTCATCGAGTTCATGAGTATCTTAATAGTGAGTATTTATCATGGAGGAATATGACTTTTTTTTATTTAAACAATTACCTAAAATTTAACTTGTGCATTTTGTAATAGTCTCAGAATTACTATATTTGATCCTTTTTGACTTATGAGGAATGCAGTTATATTTTCTCCTTTATATGAATAAGTTAAAATAATATTCGGCTCACTTACGTTGCGTGAATACAAGATCATAAGCGTCCCATTCTAGGGAGATCTTTCCTCTTGGGAGATCTGGCTTAACGCCTTCAGGGATAGCGATGTTGTATCTTTGCAGCAGGGTGGTGATGACGATGAAGGTGATGTTGGTGACTACCTTTGAGCCTACACAAGCCCGCTTCCCTGTGCTGAAGGGGATGAAGTGAGCAGGCTTCTTTAGGCAACCGTCTACGATGAATCTTTCTGGCTGGAATTTTTGGGGTTCATCCCACAGATCAGGGGAGCTGTTCATTTCGAAGTTGTTCACAAAGATGATTGAGCCCTTCTCCACAAAGTAATCTGGAAAAGAAAAAGAAACCATATTAATTTAATAATTATTATATTCACAGAAAGCGCTAAAACTGTATGAATAATTTATCAGTGGAAGTAAAAAATCTTAATAATGTAGCCAGCTATAACTCACCTCCAATGGTTGCATCTTCGCTTGCTACGTGTGGTACAATAGGAGATGAAGTGAGTCTTAACACTTCATAAAGTACTGCTTGACTATATAACATGTTGTGTCTGTCGTTTAGAGTTGGGGCTCGTTCCCTTCCAATTTTGGCGTCAATCTGTGAAAGAAAGAACAGTTGGTTTTATTGTTGGTCGACTGGGACTAATGCCTTTAGTTCAATAGCAGGAATATTAAATAAGGTAGCTTTAAAAAGTAAAAAGTAATTTTGTTTAAAAAATCTAGATAAGTAAATGCTTCATTTTATCACAGATTTGATACTTGTACAGTAAATATACAGTATAAAATATGAAATCAGCGTATTTTCCATTACAGATTTTATCAATCTGTTTTTTCCGTCCGAAGGGATGCCTTAATATTGATGAAGGGCACTTAAGGGCACCTTCCTCGAATCAAAACTGATTTTCCGTCATACCACAGGCGCTCTATAACTCCTACGGGGCTCTGAAGTAATTAAAAACAAAATCATGTAGGGTCATAAAATAATACTAACCTCTGCTTGTAGTGTGTGTAGAACTTGAGGGTGTTGCAGGGTATATCCCAGGAACCTCATGACAATGTTGCCGATAGCCGATGAACCACCTAGGAGATCCTCCACTATGTAAAGAATGGTCTGCCAATCCCATTTTTCTTCTGATTTTTCATTCTAAAATTAAGAATATAAAAATTAGAAATGGTCGAAGGAATTTTCCTGCTGCCTGCAAGAAGATTTAACATCAAGTACCGACGGCTGTAAAATTGTTGACGTTACTTTATAATGAGACTAATTTTAAGTTATTTTATATATTCAAAGTGGTAAATATTGAAACAAATTTTGTACAACTCACCAGGAGATTAGAGAAGCATGCGTCGACAAGGTCGTTGATGTTTGTTGGGTCATTCTTAAGATTGGCGTACTTCTCTCTGCATATATGGTTCAGAATGTACTCTCTGATAGCTGAGGTTTTCTTGTTAATCTTTTTCAAGTATGAACCAAAGAAGGGAACCAGTGATGGCAGGAAATCTGTGGGATGCCCATTGTTGATGTCGTTGAATATAAAATCGAAATTTTTGACAAGCTGCTGGAAGCTTTGCTCCTTGTAATCAAACTTCTTGGAGCACATGTAGCCGCAGAAAATGTTCATGGCGCAGTACGACAGCAATTCCTTGGCATTGATGGGTGTGTTCAACATCGTGTCAAGCTGCAGAGGAGGAAAACATGCGTGGATATTTAAAAGATACTAAATTAGTATAAAAACTCAAATATTTATAAATAGTAAATTTAAATTTATATTAAATAAGCAAGAGATGGGCGAGGAACACCAACCTGGTTAGTGAGGGTTGGCATCTCGGAAGTAACATTGGCTTCGAAGATCTTCAGGCAAGCGTCGTTGTTACGGAACATGAGGAAGGAGCGAGCCAGAGTGATGCGACGCTTCTGGTGTTCGCTCCAGTCACACAGAGCAAGGGCTGAACAACACAAGAAAACACACTTAATTAGTTTAGAGTATTAAGGTTCTGATTCACAATATCAAGCATATAATTTCGTGAATATATATATATATATATATATATATATATATATATATATATATATATATATATATATATATATATATATATATATATATATATATATATATATATATATATCATTGATTCTATTAAGAATTAGGAAATTTTATAAAGACTTAAAGGATTACGTCCATCTTATCACATATAATACATACACATACAAACACACACACACACATATATATATACGGAATGGTGCCTAAAAATATCCAGGTCGGTGATGGGCAGGCATCAGATTCGCCCACCTGACCATCTTTCGCAGCGGCCGTATCGCACCGAGACATCTCTCTTGACCTTGAGTCTCATTACCAGTGTCACCAGATCCTTAGTAACGAGAGTCCTTCCATCTCAACGCATTCCTACCTCCCTACCATGTTCCCTCTTTTCAAGGGAGTCTTCCATTTTCTCCCTCATTGTTACCGTGTTTCACTTGTTTTTGCTTCCATAATGTCATCTAGAATAGGTAGTTGAACGGTGTTTCATATCTAATATTGGTAAATAAAAAAATATTGTTTTCAGGAAGTCTTACCCCTTTTCTCTCTCCTCCCCTTTACCTATCCCATTTAATATGTGCGTTTGTCCTTGTGTGACCCAACTGACCTAGGCATTCCATTAGCCAGCCCACCACAAGTCCTTTGTTCCTCTTTAGACTTACGACACATGCTATGTTTCATGTCATGTTTGAAATATGCCGACGGAACAATGGAGCGAGGGAGGGGCAGACTGAATTAATTATATATTCCACGGGGCAAATCGTGTGGTAAAAACTACTTGATTTTATTATTTTTAACGCTTAGTAATTATCAAGAACTCGTTATACTCCGAAAAGTTGATAATCTATGTATAAGTTTAAAATTTTCCAGCCAACTAGAAGTGACAGTCTCACTGGGAAAGACAATTTTGACTTAGCAAAGGGGAAGTGCAGGTGGTGGTAGCTTGTTGCTAGGAAGTCTTGCCACAACGCCCACACCAACTCACCTTTCCGCGCTTCGTCCAATGTTGCTCACTAACCACAACATATTTATTTGTTCCATCCAAAATGTTCTTTTAAATAAATGTTTTAAGCTTCTCCAAGGGTAACCGAAGTATTTATGAAATTTGAACATTTGAAAGTTGAATTAAAGCAAAATAATAAGAAATAAATAAATTGACTCAATGAAAACAAACGAGCATAAAAAAAAGTAAAGTTCGAAGAGGTGGGATAAAAGAACCTGGTAGACACCAGACGACCTCCAGACTTAAGCGTTCCATTGCCATTCATTGTCTGGCCATGGCTGGCGTGAGACCTTGGCTTGCTTCTTTTTTTCTTCTTATTATCATCTTCAGCCCCTTTAAGGTGCCTTAATGCTAATGAAGGGCTCTTAATCCACGGAATTTTAATTCAAAATGTATTTAGTTTTTTTTTTGTAATTTACCTTAACTTTCTTGTTGGACTTAAGTAGAGCTAAACTTAAACTAAGAAGATAACTAAATGTTTGGTATTGATACGTATCCTTGATTATGGCTGTCCAGACATGAGGTCACCTTGAATATTAAGACCCGCCCCTCACACAGATACACACACACACCGGGCGGTTCAGTTCCCAAGACTTTATTACCTTCCCAACACTTTGTTTAGATAGCTCGGGAGTGGTGTTTTGTGACACGTGGACCTAAATAAGGATATTGAAATGATCCGCATTTTACCCCAAGACTTAGTAAGCAAAGGAACTTATAATGGAGAGGCTGAGTGAATTAAGATAGTTGGCAATTCTAACCGTAACACGAGAATTGATTGGTCACTCGTATGTTCTGTAATTGTGTGAAATAATGGAGGCTTGATCCTCCTTCATAGGGTTAATCCACCGCTCTCCCTGACGAGAGCCATGAATGTAGTAGTAGGGGAAAATCAGTGAAGATAAAGAAGCTCGAATCTTTAAACCTAAGCTTGCACGCCATGATATAGCATAACCTGGCCAGGAAGGAAGCCAAGGTCGCCCACACTCCAGCGGTACACTGGGCCATCTTCACACTTGACTTCTCCCAAGCACTGAAAGCGATAGTGCTCACTTTAATGATCTTAAATGTGATAATTGCTCTTTTACTCTTGACATATGCTTTGTAATTCATATGCTCGGAGAAAATATAAAACATTTGATTATTAAGTCAGAACAGTAAGATTTTTCGTGTTGGATACTTTAGAATGATCGAATATTAAGTTTGTGTGATAATGTTAGAAATGAGGTCCCAGATTTATACTTCTACCTATATATAAATTTCTCAAGTACAGGTAATAGGAATAATATATATGAATATTAAATTAATGTCAAAATCCAGAATTATATGCGGCAAGTATATAGAAAAAATTCTTTTAGATGTTAGTATTACGTCGGCGTAAACAAAAATAGTGACCAGCTTTATGGCAACGTCGCTGGATCAGGTTCTGCCCCACCTGTCATTGAAACTTGTATTCAAGTTGTACTGATTTTCGTACAGGTCTCTATTTAAAAGACTTACATTAGTTTTTAAATATGGAATCCTAATGTGATAAAATAAATAATTAAGGTGTCTACAGTTTTGTTGCTTATTTTATTTACTTACTATGCAAAGGTTACTAAGTGTTCGACCTTGTATATAAAGGAGAAGTTATGTATATTAAAGAAATTGAATGTGAGCGTTAACTAATGGAAACAGACTTGAATAACGGTGTTAGTCGATGATTAGACTAGAAGATTTTTTTTTAAAGTGAAACTCTTAACAGTTTATTATCTAAGATATTCTTTGGGTCTCTCTCTTTAGCTCAGATTAATCCCCTAGTCTAAAGTAAACTAAGTTTAGCATTGCAGTTGTTTAGCAATGTATGCAAGTGCTTCAAGGTCAAGGGTAGTTTCAACAAAAAACAGAGACGGTATTTCCGCAAACAGTTCCTGTAAACAGTTCTCTGAAGAAGCTCAGCGTGTTCGGCTGGCTCATAAAAAAAATTATTTTAACGAAAAATTTGGGTTACATCCGATGTATTGCATTAACATAATGCTAAACTATGATTTATTGCTCGACAAGTCAGATTCGTGAAGGGTGTTCCATTGAACGAGAACTGTTAAGCAGTAATAAACTGTTTGCGAGAACTAATTTGATTAATATATAGAATATACTTACAGTGCTGGCGGTTGCCACCAAAATATAATCCGAATCGTAGGATATCAGGGCGTGCGTCGAACTTGTTAGCCTTAGTGATGAGAACCTCCTTGATTGTGTCGTATGAGCCGACAACCACGGCGGGATTACTGCCCATTAATAGAGAGTAGACGGGTCCATACTTCTGTCCTAAAGCTGAGAAACCTTCATATGGACAATCACTATATTTGGAGAGGGTATGCAAGTTGCCAAGGAAGGGAATTGGAGTGGGTCCAGGTGGCAGTGGTGGTCTGGCGATCTCTAGGTCGTCATTTCTCTTTGGTTTCGAAGAGGATGTTTGGTCATTCTGCTTTCTTCGTCGCCGAACGGTCTCTTGTACGGCTACTGCCACGAAAACCATAATTATTAACACAATAGTTGCTGGAGCTAACATGAAGACCATCTTTGCGAGCAGTTCTGAACTTGAGCAGTGACTGACAAAGTTCCTTCGTTCTCGCCACTATTTATACGGAAGGCACAGCTTGGCCTTTAGAAATGGCGTTGGCTACGGGTACCTAGGGAGTATTTTTTCAGAGTAGGAGGCTTCAAGATGTTCAAGCTCCTATGATTGGTTACTCGAGGAGGCAGTAGGCGGAGCAAAAGAAGCAATGCTAGCATATGCGAGCAGTGAACACTCCGAGGTGGGTCGCGGCGTCACTTACACGCCGCGACCAGCCTTAGGTGAGTCTACCATCAGTCTAACTTGCACTCATTGCACTCATCACCTACTTAATACTCCTCATTATTATTATCTGCCGTATTAAATTACTGTTGTTACACTGACTCACGTTACTCGGTTCTTCGCCCCTTTCCGTGTGACACTCGTTTTATTCCCTTACTTTCGCCACTTTCTCTATGTTTTAGTCCTTGTGGACAGTGTGTGGCGGAATTCAACTTCATCTTATGCTCTTTCAGTATCAAAAGAAACTACATTTTGTTGCTATAAAGAAAATATAACCTGATAAAAAATATCGTTAATGGCTCTAGTGTTTAGTTTAAAGTTACCTTTATGTGATATGTAGGTGAGAAAGACAAGAAACAATACAAGCCTTTATAATAACTATGTGTACTTGAACGAAACGTTGTTATAAAAAAGACTTACGTTGTTTCATGTGCCATGTAGTTATTGACTCGTTGCGTCTTCTGACGTAGTTTTTGTGTTGAATTGATCCAGCGTCAATAACGGCATTATTGTGTTGTATTTTTTCTAATTTTCCTACAATTCCCTCGAGACTGTACCGTCTAATATTTTATTATGATGTCTACTTGTATATGATTTTATAATTTGGTGTAAGACTACGAATTGTAAAATGTTGAATGTAAACACTTATTGAGAATTTTTCTAGCCAGACTGTTAATTGTCAAACAAAAACTTGCAACTGACATTGTGGCAGAATGGAAACTGCTATGCCAGTGTTTCACTTTAAAATTAAGCCTTATAGACTTGACTTTAAACCTAACAAGCTAAGATTATCTTTATTTTATTAAATGGGTATAATAAGGATTGAACGTAGGTAACGATACTCGCCGTTGCTCTCATACTAGATATTGGACTCATGAGAGTTGTTAACCAATAGAAACCAAGCAAAAGTTACACAATATCGTGATACATTTTGATCATCGTGACCTACGTTGATAAAGGAAACCCGATCTAGCGTGTTACTTTTTTAACCTGTCTAATTAGATTAAAAAAATTTTTTTTTACTCGAACACAATTAAGAAAATGTATCGTGCAAGTTTTACTTTAACTTCTGTTGATTACCAACTTTATTTTTCTCCAGCTAACTTTAATATAGAATACCATCAGATTGTACATTATTTGAGCATACAAGAAACACTGTAGTCCTATGGCCTATACTAGGCAGGTCCTGCTTACCTAACCCTTCCAACTCTGAATTTTCAACTTTTTTCTTAGCTGCCTAAACTACTTGCGAGTTTGTTTTCAGTAATCTACTACTAGTATATTGTGACACCAGTGTAAAATTTTATAATCTGAATTTGTTCATCTTAAATCCATTTGAGTTTTGACTTTGTTACATTTCTTTATCACCTAATTTATTTCCACATTGTTTAAACTCAAGTTCCATTTTTATACCTTATTTATATACCCCGCATCTTTCTGCATCTTCCATTCTGTAATATGCAGACCTGACTACGCTGCGTATTGTAATCGCAATGAGGCTTTAACACTGATGCTGAGTTGTAGTATTTCTTTTGCACTTCTCTTATTTGTATTGATGTAAATCCAATGACTATATTTAGTGTGCACACGCATTGCTGTCTTGGCTTCAGATTTTGATAACCAAAGTTTCCCAGTCTTTATCACATTCAGTTAGTTAATTAAGTTGTGCATTAATAAGTTCCTAGGAGCTGAGGGTATTTTCTTTCCCAGTTGGTTTTCTTTCAGCTAATGTGCAACACTGATTTAGGGCATCCCATTGTATATCATTAGTGCATGCCTTTGGGGCATAAACACAAACACGCTCTCTCTCTCTCTCTCTCTCTCTCTCTCTCTCTCTCTCTCTCTCTCTCTCTCTCTCTCTCTCTCTCTCTCTCTCTCTCTCTCTCTCTCTCTCTCTCTCTCCTACCTGACTGTATATCAACCCACATGACCTGATCTTGTTGCATCAGACACATGATCTGATCTTGTTGCATCAACTTACTTGACCTCATGTTGCATGAATCTACATGACCTGATATTGTTGCTTTAGCTTACATGACCTGATATTGTTGCTTTAGCCTACATGACCTGATATTGTTGCTTTAGCCTACATGACCTGATATTGTTGCTTTAGCCTACATGACCTGATATTGTTGCTTTAGCCTACATGACCTGATATTGTTGCTTTAGCCTACATGACATGGTATTGTTGCTTTAGCCTACATGACCTGATATTGTTGCTTTAGCCTACATGACCTGATATTGTTGCTTTAGCCTACATGACCTGGTATTGTTGCTTTAGCCTACATGACCTGGTATTGTTGCTTTAGCCTACATGACCTGATATTGTTGCTTTAGCCTACATGACCTGATATTGTTGCTTTAGCCTACATGACCTGGTATTGTTGCTTTAGCCTACATGACCTGATATTGTTGCTTTAGCCTACATGACCTGGTATTGTTGCTTTAGCCTACATGACCTGATATTGTTGCTTTAGCCTACATGACCTGATATTGTTGCTTTAGCCTACATGACCTGGTATTGTTGCTTTAACCTACATGACCTGATATTGTTGCTTTAGCCTACATGACCTGGTATTGTTGCTTTAGCCTACATGACCTGATATTGTTGCTTTAGCCTACATGACCAGATATTGTTGCGTCAGGTACATGACTTAACCTTTGTGCATCAGTCTACACGAACTGGTCTTGTTGTGTTATTCTACTTGCCTCGACCTTGTTGCGTCTGATACAACTTAACCTTGTTACATCTGTCTTCCTGACCTGACCTTGTTGCGTCTGACACAAGACTGTTGTGTCTGACACAATACTTTATTGCGTTTGACACAAGTTTTTATTGCGTCTGACACAATACCTTGTTGCATCTGACACATGACCTCGTTGCCTCTGACATGACCTTGTATCTCAAGGGGAGTTTGGAAGTACTACTTCCAGTTCACAAGCGAAGAATCCAATTCAGTCTAGGGCGGGGACAAGACGTATTGGCAAGTTTCCTAACATGTTGCCTCGTTTTTATCCAGCAGAATAAGTAATTAGATGTTAAAGGAATTTTGTGGATCGCATCCTGGAGAAGTGGATCAAAGGACTCCTCAGGAAATTAGCCACACTGACTGCTTTTCTTGGGATATTTTGGGTTACTCACTCTTCGGGAAAGTGGTTAATAAGCCGAAATTTTTTCTTATTTAATATCACCCTTCATAAACGTTCCATACTTCACCTCCCTCATTATGGCGTCAGGTCTCTTCTGTCCCTCGGACCTGTTAAAATTATAGATTTGTTTTACGTCGTTGAATTTATATTATAACAGAATAAAATTTCTATTTTGAAGCCGCAATTTGTCAGTATTGTAATGACTGTTTCGTACTTTTTGGAATATAGCAGTTATTCTGAACAGTGCCAACTCGAGGTTTTACATATATCGGAGAAATACCGAATGCTTGAAATTGTTGTGCCTCATCACCAACAGCATGACTGATCGGTCAGTTGCTGGGTGAACAATAAAATGGTATAAAATACCGACAGGTTGTTAGGTAAGACACATATGCAACAGTTAGGTATCTTTATTTCGAAACGTTTCGCCTACACAGTAGGCTTCAGTCGAGTACAGCAAAGTTGATGGAAGCAGAAGAGACTTGAAGACGATGTAATCAGTCCATCACCCTTGAAGTTTTGAGGTGGTTACTAGCGCCAGGAGGTGAGACGTAGGTCACTAGCAGAGGTAAGAATGTAGACGTTGAGAGGTCAGGTCCCTCTCAAATCCAGCCATTCTCACTAGTAGAGGTTGATTCCAAGTCTATACCAAGATACCCTTGTGTTGCAGTGTCTGACAGAGTGAACAATAAAATGGTATAAAATACCGACAGGTTGTTAGGTAAGACACATATACATCGTCTTCAAGTCTCTTCTGCTTCTTTCAACTTTGCTGTACTCGACTGAAGAAGCCTACTGTGTAGGCGAAACGTTTCGAAATAAAGATACCTAACTGTTGCATATGTGTCTTACCTAACAGTTGCTGGGTCTTGATAAACACCGAATGACCCACATGGGTTTAGCGGTTCCTGGAATACAATACAAATTTATATATTTAATCTTTTCTTCACATAATGTTTTTAGGTGGATTTGGGAAATGCATTATTTTTGCACTGGCACTACTTTAAATTCGATATTATGAAAGTTACAAGATCTGTATTGTCTGTACTGAAGATTTGTCGGTAAAGATTAGGATTACCCGAAGGTTACCTGAAGGCGATTTTCGGGTCACCATTCCTGTGGCTCTATCCTAGACCAAGGCTTCCAGTTGGATGTCTCCTGGTATTTAGTAACCTTGCCATCTCTATAGTACAGAGAAAAAAAATCGTGGCTGGAGTAATAGAATAATAGTATGAGATAGCATTTAAATTAAAATCTACTAAGACCCTAGGCCCTAGGGTCTTTAATTAGAAGACAAAATGCCGACATATAGCGTAACACAAAGACATTTACAACTGAACGAACATTTATTAAACAACCTTTCGTACACCTTTGAGCGAAATTTTGTGTAGTGAATGCTTCTGTTATAGCGTCTTTGTACTACCCTACCTAGATCATCAACAGCCTGGCTGGTCAGAAAGCAGCCCACGATTAACGAAGGAGGGTCGAGCCTCCACTATTCCTAGCGCTGAATGATAAATACAGGTTTAGCGCTTTATGAAATACAGTTCAGTAGTGTTACCCTGCCTATGGTCTTTATCAACAAATAGTAAA